CGGGGGGGGGGGGTCCATAAGATTGATTTAATCAATTATTTGAGGTTTCTGAGGTGCGTCCACCCCGTCACTTAACTTGCTAAAGCAAGAGCAACTCCAGCTAGCTAAGGCTAGCTTTCGTGAAAAGGATCCTGCACGTTCTATAGGAAGGAATAGGAAGTACGAATACGCCCAAATTCTATCATGACGGTCTTCTGCTCTTTTCTCTACCACGGAGCCCTCCCCTCCGTTCCAAGACCGCCACATCGCCACGCGGCCGATGACGATCTGCGAGGGCACCATCCAGGTCCTCGCTCGGTGCTCCGTCCACGGACCCAGGACCCGTTTTGGGGGGGTGAGGACGTCGGGTGGACGTTGGGGGAGTTAGGTACGGCGATCCAGTCGTACCGAACCTCAGGTACGGTGACTGGAGACACTGTTCTGTGTGGGTGCCAGGAGGGTCCAGTCGTACCGAACCTGAGGTTCGGTACGACTGGATCCGGGACAAAGATGAGGATGTGATGAGAAGTGAAGATCTATTTGTGCTTGGTTGAAGGTCACCTGATAGGCTCATAGGGAAAAGGCCAAGATTGGTGTGGTGGTCCACTGACTGGTGCTTAGTAAAGAATGAGGGAATGGATCCTATGGTATCTATAGTGAGAGGTCATTCTCTCATGCCCTACTAAGCACCAGTCAGTCCACACCTGTCCAAAACAAAGGTCAACCAAATTCTCTTCGGTCTGCAGAAGAACCTCCCCCACAGGTGACCACGATGACTTGGCTAGACTCAGTCAGAGCTGTTTTCCTATGTTTTCCTTGCCAAACAACAATAAAGTGGAAGCACTCCAAATGGATCACTAAACCAAAAGCCAGTCTAAACGTTAATTCCACCGAATTCTAATTTTGTCCGGTGTAAGTGGGCAGAGTGTCTTTCAGGGAACGCGATCTTCAAGTATAGGTGGTGGTTTTCACTGCGCTTTTGACAGATGCAGCAAGCAAGTTGATTTGTGGAAAGAGTTGTTTTAGGCAGTCGCTCAAGCACGTTTTCGTTAGCGTGTATTGTCGTGATAATTTGGCTAATTATCATGCTAATATGTTTACATAGCATGATAATATTGGACAAAATATTAACTTTAATTATATCATATATATATATATATGTGTTTTCATTATCATGATGATTTTGGATAAATTATAATGATAATTAAAAACTCCAAAAGCAACCAAAAACCGTCAAAAAGTAACCAAATCTGGGAATTAATTATCTTGATAATTAGTTAGTTATCATGATACTTAATTCACAGAATTATCATGATAATTGATCCAATCACAGGCTAATTCTTAAAATTATCATGATAATATATGATAATTAAATTCAGTAAAACAGGTGCCGTTTTGGGACCTCTTTGGAGTCGATTTGGGTCCCATTTTGGAATCTGTGTTGGATAATATATCCAAAATTATAACATATCATGATACAAACAAACATAGCATGCTAATTTATCTAACATTTTCATGATAATTAAAAAAAGTTACCATGATATTTAATTCCACGGTAACGCCCTTATGTTGACCACATACCTCCTAAAGAACACCCCTCAGAACGTGTTAGAGTAACATGCTAAGTTATGTTCAAAAGTCATGCAAAAATCAGTTCACTCGTCATGTCACCCATAAGAATGAATAGCGTCTCAGCAAATCCAGGAACGCCTCCACGGACATTCACTGGTTTCGCTCCAAACAAGCAATCAAACGCGGACCGTCGTGGTGCAGTGGGGCACCACTGAAACTCCGTGGCACACAGGGCTCACCAAAAAGTGACCCGTGAACCAGTGGTTTTTTTGGGCCTTCCGCTTGGTACATATGGAGTGTTCGATGATTGTGGGATGTGGAACCCCGGCAAGCTCCAATTTGGGGCCAGGGTTGTAGTCCAACATGATCTCAACTGAGATTGCCCAATGAACATGTCTTGATTCTCTATCTGCGATCCTGTTCCCAATGCTGTGCTTCGATGAGCCCATGTTCCTTCAACAGCTGGTCTAAGACCCGAACACTTCCTTTCACTTGACCCGTGATTTCGATCACCAGCCCCAACACGGTGCAGTCAAAAGCGCTTTCTGCGCCCCATCTGGCGGATGTACACCGAATCCACCAAAGGCGCCTCGAACGTCGTGGCCGAGGCATGTCTTCAAAAACAGAGAAACACCACTGTTGCCCACCATGTGTTTAATAGCCGGGTCATCCCGAAGAATCATTGTTGTATATACCTAGCACTTCCAAGGGGTGCCCTGTCTGGAGACCTATAAGTAGTGTGGAGATGTCCATTGGTAACCAAACCATTATCCATTTGGGTGCGGAGACCACTAGGGAGACCTCCCTAGTGGTCTCCACACTGGTCGTGGTTAAGTCGACCAAGGCGTGGTTAAGGGTATGTCTCCAGTGAAGAAGGAGTTCCTAGACAAAACCCAGTGGTCGGCTGTCTCCCTATATTTCAAAATATAATCACCCATATGTTTGTTTGTCTGTCTGGGTGCACCGTTTTGATAGCTGCTGATGCACTGTCTGTGTCTGAAGCGTTGGCCACGTGGCCCCGAGCAAACCGGTCAATGTTTGTAGGATTCTGGAGAGGAAACACAGGAGATTTCATCATGATCATGGTGAGCCCAAGCAAAAAGCGAAAGCGCGTTCTAATATGTTCATTATACACTGATACACTATTATTGAGACATGTTCAAAAGTAGTCACTAAGGTCTATCCATGCAGCCACCGCGTGGTGCAAGTATTGAAAGAATTGTAAAAATGCTTCAGCCGGCATAAACATTCTGCAATTCGCTGCTACCCGCTTGTTCCAGTCGGGCAAATAGCGAACCAAACTCATCGGTTGGAGGATCTCCCTATTCAACCGAAAGAGAAACCATTTCCAACTCGCTCTTCAGACGTGGGCCCTTGTGTGAGTGAGGCAAACAGGTGACACATTCCGTTATTTTCAGGTCGACATATTATATTGACGCATGGTTCAAAGCTCCTCGACATGGGACGAACGCGAGCAATGCAACGATCACAATTTGAATGACTCAGCAAATGCCAAACTACCATTTGAAAGGGTAGCACAACTGTGAGACCTAACAAGCAAAAGGACTTAGAGCCAGAAACTCAAATGCCTGACACCACAGACCCCCAAACCCTATGTGTACACTCTGATCTAGTGACGACAAGTTGAACGAACCACTGGTATTCGGTATTCATATGAGGTGTTAGGATGTGTTAGGCATTCCCAGCAACAGTGGATTACGATTCGATAGTCAAAACCTGTCTCATGATAATGCTTGTACCGACGACCTTACAGGCGCCAACCGGGCCACATCCGAACACGGCGTGTCATTGACGCTCGCGCCGAAACTCGGCACTGGCCCCGGCAATCCGCCAAGGAACCCAAAATAATTTCAGCACAAACGGCCAAGATTGCCTCAAAGGGTGTCTCGTGGTCGAACGACCGGATGTGTTCGCGCTTCTTCGCGAGGCGCGGAGGCTGGCGTCGTTGCGCCGACCCTTGCGCCGTGTTGCGCTTCGATCACAAGAACTCCACACCTCCTCCACACCTCCACAGGATGGTAGATCTACAGTAGGTGTCTGGATCCAAAGCTCCACGATTTCCAGGTGTTTTTTGGCAAATGTTGATTCCTGTGTGGTTTGTTCTTCCTTCGACGAAGTCCACCAGGATTTGGCTCGAGCGTTGGCATCGCAGGTACCCTTCGAAGGTCGATTGCATCGTTTTTTTTTGGGGGGGGGCCGAGGGGTGAGCTGAGAAACTCGAAAAGGTTGAATCATGGTGGCTGCTATTCGTGTGGAAGGAGGTTGTTACAAAAACATCAACATACTTTAAGGTAATGAATCGCCGTTCAATGCCAAATCGAACAATTATTGTAAAGGTGTTGGTAGACAAACGAAGCACACCTGGATACACCTGGACCGGTCTAAGGTCGAAGAACCGGTCGAGCGGCGATGAACACCTTGTAGTCTCCAGTATGCAACGCACAACTGGTCAACAGGGCCTCCCAGGTTGAAAAACGGGTCTCCCAGCTTGGAAACATCCGACATCCGAGGATGTGTGAACAACGGGATTCAATCGGACGTGTGTCAACCACTGGAAGAACGGGATTCACCCGGCTAAGGTGCCAACGCATACGGAATGAAACAGGCCCGAGGCGCTGAAAACGATGATGTTTGATCCCACGGTGCAAGGGCCCTGCAATATTATCAACTATACAACAAAATATCGAAACTGAGGTTGCTTAACACAGGAGTTTGGGTGCTGATCTGCTCTGCGTCACAATCAAACCTGCAAAGATCCAGCAAACACCAAGTTGCAGGGAAAATATGCCGAGATCAGTGTAGGAAGCTCCACGGTCCTTCAAAAGGAGAGGGAATACTTGGCCAAGACCCAGCGGAATACCCTGCAATGTGTACCTGAGCAAGGAATGCCGTGCATGTCACACAAATTCACAAAATCCGCAAAAGTGCAACATGAAAAATAGAAAGGGTACAGCACAATCCAATCTCCAAACAACATATACCAGTCGCTGGTTGGACGAAGCCCCTCATTCGTGGAAATGTCACGCCTCTACCTCTACTCTATAAGGCGTTCTGGTTGCCACTCAAGAACTTGCAGGCTGATTTCGTTTCGCTCTTCACTCATTCCACTCAAACCAAGATACAGTAAGCACAGCAAAGCAATGTTCCCCCACTCACCTTTGAGGTTCGGAGCCTTCTCTTCACTCGGAGCCACTGCCTTGGTCGCAGCGGGCTTTGCAGCAGCTTCCGGCGGCCGGGGTGTTGGCACCACCTCTTTCCTGGGCCGAGAAGCGCGAGCCAATCCGGGAGGAAAAGCCAACAAGTCGGCCAGGCTGACGCGGCAAGGCGTTCTGAGGCTCGCGGCAAGGCGTTCTGAGGCTCGTCAGTTCAAATCCTCGCAGAACAAGGCAACTGCAATGGTTCTTGAGTTCACGGTCTCTTTGCTTTAAGTGTTACGGAGCTTGCGTGGAATCGCTGGCATTCTTGCGATACTTCAAGCATTGTTTCGCCTCACATCATCTGGATACATTTGGAGACCCCACTGGTCACATCCTGCCACTGTCCACCCGTCAGCTGGCGTGCTCACGTCAGCTGACTGAAGATGCTTCTCGGGAGTTTCATCCCAGATCTCGTCCCGTCGGTGTCCAAATCTGGTAGTCATAAGAATCTTCTGGGAGTCAACAAGTTACCTACTTTTTTGGTGGTCTAAACTCGTGAGTCAAACAGTCTGGTTACTCCAATCAAACCTATGAAAGCTTGTTGGAATCCCAGGCTTGAGTCTTGGCCACTTCCCCTGCACTCGCTGCCGGAAGGTGCAACAGGTTCCTATGGTTCTCGGGTTCACGCACTGATGCTTCTAGGTATGGGTTCTGGTTCTACCAGAATGCTTCATACCATGTGGCCTCGACGAGAAGTCTCACATGCCATGGTTCCATACAGCTGAAGGGTTGGGACTCTGCATTGAACTTTCACGAGAACATCTCTGAACAAATTTTTATTTACGTCTCACCGATGGGGTCTGACTGGGAAGTCCCCATTCGCTCTCCCGAGATCCCTGGTCTGATCTTCTGTATTACCTCCTGCTAAACAAGGTGAGTGCCACGTTTAACATGGGTGAGGACAAAATACGCAAAATAGCTATATATGGTCCAATCTAATCAAGTGACTTGACAGACCTAGTCCATCAAGTTCAGATCCTTTCACAGGTGTGAAATTGTGAAGATTCTGCGAATTCTAGCAGAACCTTCCTGTCAGGGTCTCCAAATGGAATACCCTACACTACTCTATATTATATATTTATATAATGGAACCGCTTGGAATACTCCAGGAATGTGTTTTGGTTGTTTGTTCTTTTACTTGTGCAGGCTTCCAGGAGGAAGGCTCTCCAAAATTGCATGAACCGGTCCCGGAGCCCGGCGGATGCGGCCTGGGCTCCTGCCCAGCTAACAGGGTGCTTAACTGGCTGAAATCCACAGACTCAACAAAGCAAAAAAAACACAGCACCACATGTTTTTGGACTTAAACACCTCCACCAAACTGTTTGAGGAGACTTCACTTCAGTGGATGACTTAACCCGATTTGACCGGATTTGGCTCCACTTTCCGAACCCCCACCGTTTCGGCCGTTGGGCCGCAACGGGTACGGGTGGTGGCCGGCAACGGCGCCGAAACGACGAAACGACGGACCGTCCGGGGCATGCGGGGAGATGTTTGGCCGAAAGTCCCACCGGGGAGCGGTGTGTTTGGATTCGAGGTCTGGAAATAGCGAAAATGTTGGAAGCGATGACACCCAAGAATCAGATCGGTGTGTTTTGGTGTTTTGGTGCCCTATTCCAAGAATCAGATCCCCTCGCTTCTGGCGTTCAATGATGCTAATCGAGCCCATCGGAAATTTTGCGTGGGACCCGCCCAGAGCCACCCAACACCAACACGGAGCATGGGCCAGCTTCCTGCGCAAAGCAATGCAAATCAGTGTTGTATAGTTACTTGCGAAGGGGCAGCAGCGACATGAGTGTGTATTAAATTTTAATAAGGGGGAACCCCTTGCCCTGGCTGGGTGATGTTGTGTGGAGGAGAATGCATCAGTTGTAGGTGCGGTGCATGCTCTACGTCCGAACGTTCTGAAACCTGAAAAGCACGACTGCTAATAGTACCATTGTATAACATTGAGAACTTGTACGCGGCATCGTCCACTTGAGACATTGAAACACGAAAGGTAGAGAGGTACCAGGAATATATGAGAGGTGTAAAAGGTGGGGTGTGGTGTGGCGCACCTGGAGGCTTGTCAACACTAGTGTATATATATTATGAGAGCCATGGTGTGTAAGAATTGCCTGGTGCCAAACTGCGGAAGTGCGGTCGTATGTCGCGCGCGCGGTCCGCATAAGAGCAACCTGGGTCGCGAGGAGAGGTTGCCTCAGCATGTGGTGTGGTGAGGTTTGTTAACACGGCTTTGCGTAGAGGCTGTGTTGCGTCAATGTTTGTGTATAATTATAGAGCAATATGGTGCGTGAACGCTGGCTTGCATAAAAAGTTGCGGCCTGCAAACGCTGGCGTGTGTAAGAGCTGTACGCACTCCGTCGAAGCTGTGTTGCGCTACCTCATTGTAGACACCGATGTCGCTGCCAGTGAATGGACATGACGCTATGGTAGGTGTGCTAGTGTTGCTGGCGAGGGGGGGTCACCAAAATAATGGATTAATCACATTGGAGGCGGTGGGGGTCAATAGAATTGATATATCAATATTTGGTCCCGAGCAGGCTATTGAAGCTAACCCCTTTGTTTCGCAAAGCAAACTCAAGTTAGCCGCTATCCCTTACCAGGCTACCTTTCGTGATAATGTTCTAATATGTTCTGATTATTCGACATGACTTGAAGCTGCCAAATTCACAGCTATCTATTGCAAGCAAAGCCGCTTCTTCGGTGGTGGCGTGGCCGTACGCTTGGAGGCTGCAGTCACCTGGAAAACGGCATAGGTTGGCCGTACGCATTGGACGCCGCGTGGCGTGGGAGCTTCCCGGAATTCAATCAACATCAAGTGCCCAGACCTCCAGGGAAGTGACCAAGAGAACTGGTGTTTCTTTCTTTCCCTTTGTGACCCTATTGAACGACCGAGGCCGCAAGTGACGGAAGATCCGGGGATCTCAAGGAGATGAAGGACGAGATGTGGTTCCTATGGTACCTGTTTCGAAAGCCTGGTTTCCCAGTTTCTCTGGGAAAGTCAAATAGTGAACGTAGCAGTGTGTGGGCATTGGTGCATCAAAGCTGGATCTCCCCAAGTTTCTAAACGAGTCATACCTTCTGACCTGCGCTGCAAGGAGAAACCTGACCCAGTTGTGGTTGACTCAGTTTAGTCAAGTCCCAACAATGTGTTCATAGAGGATAGTGTTGTCAAGGCTTAGTTTTCCTTTAGGGGGGCATCCTTTCATCCTTTCATACAGTAAAGCATTAGTTTTCCTGCTCATAACCGAGGAAGTTGCTATATTCATTCAAAGAAGAATTAACGGGACCACCCAAGGGGGGTTACAACGATGGTAAACCATTGGTATCGGGGGTCTATAAATTAACCATGCCCCATGCTTTTGGGTGGTGCTGGTGCATATATATATATTAATATCAATAACCTATCGAGTCCTGAACACTGCTTTTTGGTTAAGGTACGCCCCCCAAAATAAGCCGATCTTTTTTGCTCCGGTCTTGGAAGGACACTTGCCAAAAAATCAACAAAACAAATATGAGAAACAAATACGTGAACAACGATGGAAGTCGTGCACAATAAGGCTTGCTTGGCCTGCAAAATGTCTGATTGTGATTCCCATAGGCCCTGAACTAGTTTTTGAGTGAATCCCAAAAACTTACTCCGATTGAAAAAGTATGAACCACAACTCTCTCGAGGGTGCAGGTATGTCATTGTCTTGGGCCTGTTCGCGAAGCCAGGCCCACGACCAGGCTGAGGCCAAATGAGATCCTGTCGTGATCGATCAAAACTTTACTTTTGACCCTTGGAATCCACCTGTCCTATTAATCTTCTTATTCAATCTCTGCATTCTTCTATTCTAGTTTTCAGTTCTTATTTGGATTTCTTAGAAATTCCGGTACCCAGAAGTTTGGCCCAGGTCCGACCCTCACTCCGGCCTAGATAAGGGGACCACCCTACAGCCTTAGCAGCCTTAGCTGGCATCTCACAAGATCCTCCAGGACCCAGGATCGGGGTGGTCAATGACCATCCCTTTAAGCATCCTCAAGGGCTATGAATCAACACCCTTCTTTTGGGGGTCGGCCCTTTACTAAAGAGGCTGAGCCTTGCAGCCGTATACCACTTAGATTACCTGGCTCATGGAGAAAAACGGCACTTTTGGAGAGCCAAGAGATGAAGTACTGGAAGACTTAGACATAATCCTACCCCAGGGGTCTTCTTCGTCTTCTTTCTTCGCGGAAACGCGGAAAGCACTCCAGAACGCTGGGGCGCCTGAGCCTTTGGTGCCATCGCGGAAACGCGCAGCCAGAGACAGAGGTTCACACAGCCAGCGGTGACCAGTGGATTGATTCAAATCTTTCATTTGGCAATACCATGAATGTGATCAAATGACATTTTCTGGTCATTTGGAACTTCAATTGTTATACTGCGTGTCCATTCCATCTCTTTAGTCTTCTGTGCGTGTTTGTCGAATGTCTTGTGTGCATGCACGTTCGTGCTCGACACGCTCTCTTCGTACAGTCTTTTGGAAAACCGTGTTTTCTAAGTACGTACCTTTTTGCACATGCTGACGTGGCAAAAAGAGAAGCCATGTGATCTGTCATGAGCCAACAGCTTGGAAATCACGGTAAACTGGGTAAAAATAAAGCCTATAGAACCACGTATGCACCGCTTCAGAAAAGAATCATTAAGCTTACAGCAAAACCAAGCCACAACAAAAGCAATAGATAATCACTTGCAGTGCTATGCATTGCTTGGCCATTCGAACACTGACTCCAACTGATCAAACTTATGGGGATGGGTACCCTACCGGGACACCCTGACACCCTACCTTTTTCCCACCGAACATGAAGAACATAGACTACCAAACATGGTCCATCTAGCAGGGTGAAGCGGGCTCCAGGCTTTGACTCATCCATGTTCAATCATTGTCATCCACAAAATACCAAAGTTCCACTCCTATTGCTCCAAGTGAAGCCATCCACCGAAAATGCATGAACAATGCGTAGACTCCGATGCAAACCTGTGGTGCCATGTCTCATTCTTCGCTCGAGGACGCCTCCCCAAACCGACCGAGGACGCACTCGATCTGGGCGATGCCGGTGCCTCTTGGCTGTAACGCCAGAGGATCAGTCGGTAGTCCTGCGGCGCAATGTGCGCCGCGCGGCACGCGCGGAGCTTGCGCGGTCGCACGGCACGGCACGCGCTGTTTCGCTTTCCGGGTCAGAGGGACACCTCCGGGGGTGGAGCCGTCTGCCAGGAAAGGGAGACATGGTGGGACTTGGTGGGGCACAGCCAATACCGATTGTTCACCGGATCCAGGAGAGCATGTGGTTTCAGGGGTGAGAAGCGGCACCCATTTTGGACAGATCTGTCGACAAATGGGGGATTGATAGGGGGATCCATCTGTCAAATAATAGACCAGCCAGCTTGCGGGACCTTGCGGAGTAACGTGTGCCGTTTGAAACGGTTAATCCGGCCTCCAGCGCTCATGCGCCGATGGTGGTGTTGCGGAGGGTGAGGGTGACAGCGTCGCTTGTGGCACACAGCTCCAAGCAACCGACACGCCGACCACACACCCCTCAGAAAGACGATCCGCGCCGCAAAGATCGAATACCAACCAACTGCCATGTGCGTGTGTGTGAATTCGCGATGTGTTTTTTAAGTGAATGTAGGTCATAGCTACGCCACCATGGATCCTCTGGGTTCGCTCGGACCTCTGACCGCTAAGACTGCCGGCAGTCGCCGATCCTTGTTCAAAGCTGGTTTCCTTCAAACAGATCTGAAACAAGTCCAGTCCGACCCAGTAAAAGCTCTTTTTAAACCTCCTTAAGTATTATTGGTTTGTTATGAACAACTGTATATACAGTAACATGAGGTCTCCGACTTGTAGGGTATACAGTAAACAGTATTATCTTGCTCTGATGTACTTTTCTCTTGATGCTGAAACCCACTGAAATGGACAAATGATCCACATCGGTTTGGACCGGAAAGCCTGTCCTGGCGCGGCCGCCCAGGTCGATCCGGTCCTTGGCGGAACCTCCCGCCACCAGGCCACGGGAGTCCTAGAAAAGCTGGAGACGGGAGAGCGGGTCTCATGCCCCTACCTATAGAGGTTGAACAGCCCTTTGGAACAGCCAGGGTCCCAGTACATGTACATGAGTATACTACAGGGTCCCAGTTCAGCTCTCCACCTCTCGAAACCTAATGCCACTGCGCCTGTGTCGTAAGAAGAGCGTCGAATGCCACTGCGCTGCGAGGCACGCGCCCTCTTCTTCTTACATGAACAGGGAGGTTTATAGAGTTGCTCAAGAGGAAAGTCTACTGATACCAGTACTGGTCAAAGCCTTCACCAGCACTGCGCAAAGCATCTTCACAGGTAGTGGTCAAGACTTCTACCAGTATTGGTTGAAAGTGACACCCGCACTCGATTTGGGTGCTGTCTGCTTTGCTGCCCCTGGCCAACGGCCTGGGTGGTGGTAGCTTGCAGCATTTTCCCAATTGTAGCAAACAATTCAGATAATATGTTTTACGAGTATTATGCGTCAAAGAAGTCTTTGAACATCAAACATATCAAACGAAACAAGTGGGGCAGGTGCCAAAAAGTCGCAAAACCTGAAAAAATCATGACCTACAGAAGCAAGTAAGGAGAAAAGTACAAACGATTTCACTAGAATTTGACAAATGGTTGTGCATAAAAATAGAGGAACCCACCAAGCACTCCTGAAAGAAAGTCATTCCAAACCAAAACCGGCGACACTTTGTGGAACATCGATCCGTCCCAAAGTGGTGGAGGGTCCCACTTCGAACGGTGTAGCTCAGTTCAAGCACTCACGGAATCACAAAACCGATCCCAGTGGGGAACCAAACACCCCGGGATGTGGGTTTTTGGTCATCATGGAGTAGATGTTAACATGCAAAAATCCAATGATTATGTTTTTTGGATCGGTTCATATTCTATCTACTCCAGCCAGGATGGGTATAAATACTGTACATACATGGATTGTCTGGGGTAGGGAAGCGGGGAACTGTTTTTTGCGCCTCTGACTTGTAGAGTGACTCTGCGGGGATCCGCTGGGTAGAACAATTTGAAAGCAGGAACCAACCACGCCATCCAAGGTGGTATATGAACACATTCTGAGTAGGACATGCTGAGTGTTGCTAACCCCCTGCAAATGAACAACTGATTCGTCAAAAGCCACCGGGTTGGTCTTCGTAGGTCTTCCACCACGGGTGAACTTCTGAAAGGGTCCATGTGGTTGGTCGACTGACCGCGGGGGTTAAAACATACCCACTTTCTGTGTCTTCTGATCCACCCTGTTTCACCTCATGGACTCCGTTTCACCCTGTCCATTCCACACTCCCTCCCTTCACCTCATCGTAGGGCCGCGAAGCAGCATCGATGATCTCCTTTTGAAGCAACGGTTGTCGCGTTTCTTTGCAGCGTGCGGGGCTGGAATGCTGTTCATGTTTTGCTACTTGGGAGGCATTCTTTTGTACTTCCAACAGAGATTGAAGTACCTAAGAAGACTATCCCAGTTGGGTACCTTACTGTAAGGTCCTATTTACAGTCACTGAACGCTGAAAACCAGCACTGCGACTGTGAGTTCACCACAACCCCTGAGGTGTCCTTGGAGTTACGCAAATCCAAATGATCCACGTGTCCAGTCCTGATCCAAGGACACCTCTGAGCCCACGAGGCCCCGCGCGGACAAGTCCTCCTGCGCGGAGGAACACATCCCACGTCCACGGCTCAACGGCCGCAGGGTCCAATGTAGGTCTACGGAGCAAATGGATTGTGTTCAAGCAGTCCAAAGTTCAGAGTCTTACTTCTGTCAGACCTGTCACGTGTTCTTCTGTCACTATTTGGTCCCAGGTTCAACATACAGGTCGACCTCAACATCTGGGGTCTTCATCAGGGTTCATGAACTCATATTACACTATAGAATGAACGTTCATTTGTGGTCTGATTGGTCTGTAAGCATGACATCTCTTTCCACCAAACTGGCATCTCGAGGCCACATCCAAAGCCCTAGCCCGATGCCTTTTCGCATTTTGGAACAAGGTCAAGCTCTCCGTGAGTAGGATTCCAAAACAATACCAACAAGTAGCAATTAAGTGCTTGGCCTTCTACAGGTCACCCGTAAACAACACAAAAATATACACACACCATCACAGGGCACTGTCAAAGCATCTTTTGGCCGAAGGAGTGTGGGGACGGAGTCAAAATTCGAACCGACCTTATCCTGGATTATGGTTTAAACCCTTTCCAAACAATTTGAATCAATCTGATGTCACCTGGAGTAGTCATTCTCAAATCGGAGAAAGAAAAGAAACACGTATAAATGAAAGCACCAAGCAGTATCCCAGATATCCCAGTTGAGCCAGGAACATCACATGCCCAAATTCTCCCCACTGAGAAGTACCATCCTGCTCCGCTCCCGCACGCGTCGAAACTCCTCGAAGGAGCTCATGCCAGCTCGTAGATCTGGGAGTGCCCCGATCAACCTCGTTCCGGATTGGAGCGATTCAATCACGGAGCGAGCGGGTGGCTGGTCGGTCAACGACTGATCACACATGATCACACGGCAAATCGACCCTCCATTTTCGAGGGACCAGGAAAGGGCTCGGTTCCTCGGTATGTCGACATACCAGCTGCTTCCGTTCGGGGTCACCAATGGATATTATCTCCACACTACTTACGCATGTATATGCAGGTCTCCATTGGGCCCCCCCGACAGGAAGTGCTAGGTAGATTCCTATAGGAATTTGGGGCAGCCTGTCAGTTTGCAGTTCAGGCTCGTTGTTGAGCATGAATCCTTGGTCAGCAATCTAACCGATATCCCACACTCTGAGCTGCGCACGTACCTGATGGCCTGAGTAGTGCCTGGCAAAGGGATAAACAACATGAGCAGTTTGTCAATCAGCCAACGCAGCCAAGTTCACCACTGCCACAACTCAAAATGTTGCAAATTATGCAGTGTATATAGTAGCATCTTGGGTAACCAGTAGCAGGTGGTCGTATCGATTTTGGCTCTACTCTTTCGCCCGTGAAACACCTCGGTCGTCGCGCCGAACGCTTCGCCCGCCCCCCGCGGAGCGGCCGTTGCTGCATCGGCCAGCAGCCAGGCGCCCCGCTCGGTGTACACACCTGCGGGGGCGCGAGCGGTGCGGAGGCTTCGACGCGTTCCTTTTTCGGGAGAAAAGACTCAAAAGACTCTGTGAGATGGAAGACCCGAATGATCCTGAATGTCTCAACACAGAATTTGATAGAAGTTGCCTAATCCTGTCACAGTTCGTCCCTGTATCTCCCAGCCATCGGCGAAGAGCACGACGTCGAACTGCTCCTGGTGGTTGGAAAGCGCGGATCGGACGGACTGATGGACTGACGAACGATGCGAAGGATGACCAGGGACCTTCTATAAGAATCCTTGGACAACCCATGACCCACGGAAACGCAGGGGTCGGACCCGAACCGTTGAAAACAAAACCAAATGTATGCGGACACCAAGCACCTCATGCTTGGTCCCGAAACAGCAGGTGCTTTCTGGGCACACCGAACTGGTGACCTGGGGAACACCTTTTGGATGCTGGTACAAAGAATGCAACTGTTGGGGTCCCATATCTTAAGGCCTTAAAGCCTTAAGGGCTTCCACCTTGGCGTGGCTTTTGATGTTTCAGAACGTGTGCGCACGTTGACCGTTGACCCAATGTGAGTGATGCGTGATGCGGGGACAACCATGGACAACCTATATGACCTGTGGAATCACTACAGCACACTGCCATGTGTGGGAGGGGGAACTTCCATGCCAAAGTCACGGAATCATGCTGATAATGACGCTTTGCCAACCGGCCGGTGACTCCATGAAGCAAAGAGAGATACAAACCACAAGACTCAACTTGCCTTTCTCTCCTCAAAATCATGGGCATGTTACAGATATATCCTACTGGGTCGTCGGTATCTCCTGAAAAGGACAAAAGTGTATCCTCAGGATGGTCCTGGACTAGATGAGAATGGCTTCCTCAGGACTCAGTAAAGCATCGATGGCGGATATTTTGCGGTGTCCTTACTCACTTATATCGTACCTGCAACTAATTTGATTGTTTGATCGTGGCAGCATGGCGTTAAATCTGGTGTGCCACCTAGCCGCTTCGAAAGCCCAAGCACCCCTCGTTACGTATCACCTATCACCCCTTCGGTGTCCTTCTTCCGATATCTGCGCCGCCCCGTGTGCTGCCACCACAACTGCTCACCCCGCACAGCTGGAGCATTGGCCTGTAGGTTGCGCCTCACGCTGCGCGGTGTCCGACTGATGAACATGAACCCAAAGGCTCCAGAACCATGCGTTGCTCGGACGTCCTGCCAGGCCCCTCTCAGGGATGTCGTTTCACCTGTAGGTATATACAGTATGGACCCAATGGGGGAAGGAACAGCTTGTCTGGCTCATGTCTTTTGCTTGGGGTAGAAGGTTCACTAAACGGACAAAGACACATGCCGTGGCCGTGGTAGGTCTTCAAAAAGGCCGGAGTGCACACCTCATGCAGGAAGTCCTGGCGTCCAGTGCTTGTTTGGAGTGCAGGGGAGCTCACTTTCACATGGATTTCGAAATGACCTCCACCATGTCTCGGTCATCGCGCCTCATCTGCGCAACGACCTCCTGAGGCTGACAAAAAGGGTTTCTGTCCTCCAGGCTGAGGACCTTAAGGACCAACCACTACCCAGACTCGACCCTGGGCCCTCATGTGGAGGGGTCTGGGGTCTCAAATCCCTAAATTTTGAGGGACCAAGGGCTTTTTGGAGCGTCTGGGCAGTGGAGTTAATCTGACAGATACCCAAACAATCAATGTTAAACAACAAATCAAACAACAGGGCTGCTCAAAAAAAGGACAACTTTGGTTTTCACACAGAGACAGTGGACGTCTGGATATCCATGTACGGAATGTATGGAATACCTGACTATGGTAGGGTGGCTTTAAGATGTTCTAAGGTTCAATGTCGGCAAGTACACTCCCTGGAATTCACTTGGAAGTGGATGGCATGGCCCCGAAAGGAATACCATGAAATGGTGAACTCCACTTCCATGTGAGTTCCAGGGAGAGTATTCCATCTACATGGATGCTTAGGGCATGGCATAGGACCTTCAACCCTCACTCGTTCTGGATGGCATGCTTGCGTCGCGAGCGCCGCGAGCGCATGCGAGCGCATGCGAGCGGCCGCAGCTGCGAGAAGACCAGACGAGCTGTCCAAATCATTCCATGAACTTTGGGTTGCTGGAAAAACTCACTATACACATTCAAGCTACTCCACATGAACCCCAAAAGGAGTTGTCCAAAAGCATCCAAAAGCTACTCTTGTGGTCTCATGTGACCTTCTCAGAGACAAACATCAAAAATACACCTAACATGATCACAAGTCCTCTTTCAATCTGATGTGTTGTACACGTCTTTTTGTTTAATCATCAAATACCCTTTTTGTTGGCAAATCCAAAAGCTTCTTCGCATTCACTTTGCACTTCTTCGCACCCCCCAGAGCCCCGCGGCGGCTTGGGGGGTGCCGCCACCGCCACCGCCATCGGCTCCTCCACGCCCTCGGTGGCCACCACGGCGCCTGCGCCGGCCGCCGCGGCGACGGAGGGCAGCGCGGCCGCGCCAGCGCCCAGTTCCAGAACCTCGACGGTTCGGTGCGCGGACTGCCGGTGCGAGCGCGGCACGGGAAGAAGCAACGGCGCCCGGTCGAGTCGAAGCGCATTCTTTGGAGAATGCGGTGTACCATTTTGGTCTGTTTGTCTATGGTTATCTATACAAAGTATCTGTCTATTTTTTAATCAGCATGCATCATGCAAGTTTAACCACAAAGAGAAAACAAATCATCGGCAAACAGCAGTTGGACTTTCTGAGCCATTAGAAAAGCCACCCGCAAGCTCACCCATGTCTTTCAGCCATTGAGCTGCACAATGCTGATTGAATAATGTTGAAAACATGTAAAGCAGTAGTGACCCAAGTCAAACACTTCCTTTCAGGTGAATGGACATCTGTCGTGAACACCCAGTCAAAGAGGATTGGTGAACACCTACTTCGACCTATTGCTTGATATGTTTGTTTGAGCACGGGAGCTGTCAAAAAGCAAGTCCGCTTTCAGCTGCAAGTGGCTGCACTGCGCTTATCTATGTTTATAGAATCTCCTATGATTCCATTGATTGCATAATATGATTAACAACGAAGGTAATGTAGATTCTTAATTAACAACAGCCCCCCAGACGTGTGTGTAAAATCTCATGCCTGGGGGGTCTACTTCAGACCGAATCAAAGTCTGTCTGACAGAATCCAAGTCGACCTGACCGACCTGACAAACCAAACGCCACAGCATGCCACCCGAAGCAAAATACCTCAAACAAACAAACTCACCAAAAAAAGATGCCCTGCCAGGAGCTTCCAAGAGGTGTCTATAAATAGCTTCTTAGAGTTAAGGGGTGTCCAAAAACCACCTGTTGGAAGGTCCTGGTGGAAGTCACATGTGTTCACCACGGTCTTCGGATGACGTCATGGCCTCAGACTCGCCACGATCACTCGCTGCCTCGCTGCGTGGAGGTCTCCACACCTCTTCAATCTTGGGAGACCTGGATCTTCAAGGGGTGTCCTGTCTGGAGGTCCCTGTACGTAGTGGGCTGGGGCGAAACCAGCCAGGTGACCCTGACGCTGGGCGGTGCTGGGAGATACATTTACCGGTTTTTTGCGCTCCATAACATGCAGGTATGTGATGTGGTGTTCTTCCAAGTTTCCCCACCTGCTTTCCTTTCAGCAACTCCGCCTGGTGGGAACGCACGCGCGGAACGCATGTCGTGGACACTCACTTGGCCGCGCCCCCGATGAGAACAGGTGTTCCGGTCCGATGATCTGAATTTGGGCCAATCCTCCAGATCGCCTTGGCTCGGCTTGACTTGTTGGTCCTCCAAGCCACTTCGAGGTAGGAAGCGATCAATTGATGTAGGAAGCTACTGAGTCTGGTTTGGTCGTGGAACTCACATTGAACCCGGCTCCGGCAGCCCATGAGTTGCTTGGAGACGGCGGTGCCTCAAGGGTTGAGTTTCATGTTTCTGTGCACTAAACTGGTTGCGTTCGTTTTGGATTGGGAACCCCCAAAACAAGGTTTGTTTGGACACCCTCAAGTGGTAGGAGGAACCACCCAAAAGCATCCACCTCAATATCTCACATTAAATTATCAGATCAACGAGCTTGCCCTAACTTCTAAGAGTCTACTATAATCTTGTGTAGTAGTAACGTATTCTTTGGGCATGGCAGGGGTCGGACCATCTCCACTTCATATTCGGGGGCCCGGATTCTTAGGGTATAGCTGCTAAGCCCATGCAACAGTCGATGACACGAGGGGATCGGCAGCCTCATCAAACCGACGATCGTCTCGACGAGCGGCTCGATGAGTGGTTCCGTTCCACACCGAGGAACGACGAGCAAATGGTATGAACTTGTGAGAAGTAGATTGCTAATGATTGCCCAATGATTGCTTTGGGAAACCTCTTTGTTACAAACAATCCATCGGACTGAAATCTTTACAGATCAGGCCAGGGGTGACTGAAACATATTGAAACAGCGGTCAATGGAGGCAATATATTAACCTAGAACCTGAATGATCTCTATTTTGGACCATCAACCACTCAAAGTATGGCCTGTTCCTATCAAAACAGAGGTCATGTCTAGATCTAGTCCCAGGAAGCGTCTGGTGTTGTGACAAACACCGAGACATGTCCCACCAGAAGGTTGTAAAGGTTTCGGAAGGGATCCCCACGCCAACTTTGACTTCTACCTAGAACCCCAAGCATGACCCCTGTTTTGACAGGACACCATATTTTGATATATTTTGGGTGGTTGCTCCGATTCTCAACGTCGGTATCGTCCAACACCGCTTACCGCGGACGGAGGAGCTCGGTGGCGTGGGCCTGCTCCGCTTGAAGCAGCCATTCCTGAGAGTGCGAGCGACGGTGGGATCCGGACAGACCGAAGCCTCGGTGTTTGGTCACCTCGTTTGACCAAGGTGCTTGGTGTCCGGATTGCTAAGTGGCTGGGGGGGATCTAAGCATATGGTCTCTCTTTGCATATTATGCAGTCAGATGATAGGAAGTGGAAGAGAGAAAAACGCGGGCCAACTTGCCAAACGAACGGGGCAACTGACATTGCCCAAGCACAGGAGCAAGCTGCTCATGAACCAACATGTACGTTGATTCTGTCCTTCACAAGGTAAGGTCAACCCAAGGGCTATAGTGTGTTGTAGTTGTCCACCAAAACCTTTGCCACCTCCGTCCTTAAGAACCCTTACATCTAGGTCTCAATCAGCAGCAAACACTTCCTCATCCAGCCCTGGGTTGCTGGGTACAGTGGCCAATTGAATCAGCGCAGGTGGGCTCAAGCAAACTCAAACCGTCCACTCTGGCACCCGCTTCAGCACCCGATCTAGTTGTCTGTCCTTAAGAACAGGTCACATTGGTCACATGGCACTAAGTACAGTAGGTCACGTGACCTGGGTCTCATCTGAACAGTGTGAACTGTCATCTGCGCTTCATGGGTCTTGTCACTCTGGGTCCTTATGCCAGTGTGGCTTTCTCTTGCAACCTGAGCAACATGAAGACCTGTGTTTGGCCAATCCACCAACTAAAATGTGAATGTTCACATCACCCTCATCTTTTCTTTTGTTCTTGGCTGGAAACAAAAGGCCTTCTTCACTCATACTGCAGAGTTCTTCACTCACTGCCATCGAGCCGCGGCCAGGAGTACTCCACCGGTCCAAAGCCGTGCACCGGTGCCTAACGGCCGGACATCCCTGTACGTAGTGGGCTGGGGCGAAGCCAGCCAGGTGACCCCGACATGAAGGTGCTGGTGGATATGGTGCAAATAGATTGTTTCTTTTTTAGTGTTGCGTTCGCAAGATCCAAGATCAAAGCACTGTGGGTTGTCGCACCTGCCGCGTCAAAGCTGGCAATGAAACACAACATAACCATGTTTCTTAATTTTAGTTATTATGTGTATACTTCTAATCAACGGGTTTTGGATCAAGTGCCCACAACCCAGTACTGGTGGCAAAGCTTATCAACGGATTAAGATTACTGAGTGGTACATCTTCAGAAAAAGAATAGAACTGCTCTTGCTAGCTATAAAAACAGTCTATAGTCTCCGCAGGTGTCATTCCAGACCGTGTTTCGAGCTGGAACACTGCGATCCTCAGCTGCGATGGCCTCCACCAGCTGCTGCGCGAAGATGAAGGGACACGTCCAAGGTGCCTTGGGAGCGACTTCTGCGACGTGGGAGCGACTTCTGCGACATGGGACCAGAAACCCGGCCTGTTTTCCTCACATGTTGTTTTGTGTCTTTTTTTCCACACCACTTCTCCAACAGGTCTTTCAGGTTGACACGTTCAGCACATTTCAGCGGGAAACGTGTCAATGTGATTCAATGTCCCCCTCTTATCCCTTCTTCACAGCACTTGGAGGGGGGTCAGGGATGGTCAAGGGCAGGTTTCTGCAGGGCAAATTCTGCAGGGCAGGGTTACGAAACCACCCAGTTAGTCCGGCTGAACTCGACCCCGGCACCTCGACCCAGCGTCAGCTTCAGCAGCCCCTCCGCTGCCTTTCCAAACGACTTCTCATCCGAGTCGGATCGAGTCAGATTCTGATGACCACAGTGCAGGACTGCGGGAGGAACTCAAGATGTCGTCTGTCCAGTGGGCCAGTGTATTCATTAAAGACAAACCTGTGGTGAGCACTTCATGATCCAAATTCATCCAAATTCCTCATATATATAATCGAATGGTGGTTCGATCCTGAGGTTTCTTGCTATGCTGGACGCGCACGTGGTTCCCTCGCTGAGAAAGACTCACTATACGCAGGTTTCCCCCACTCCAATGGTCCAAAAGCAGGGTCCCTCGGCTTCAAGGTTCCTTTCAAAACAATGTCCAAGAACAAATTCTGCATGGCAGGTGGTCATCTGCCATTGGGATGGCGAAGCGGGTTGGTATCAAAGCAAAAGGGTTTCAGTGGATCGATACATGAAGTCACTTTTCGCTACTGGGGCGATCTTCTTCAACCCTGGAACCACCACTTTGTTCATGGCGATCATTTTCAGATCTTTGGAATTGACATAAGTTGATCCCCAGCCACATGTCGACTCTAGCCATTCCACCCCCACGGGTGCAGCCTCGTCGTCGCTGGACTCCTGAGAAGTGTTCCGATATCGTCCATATGTTTCACCTCTCGCAAGTGACGGTCTTTTTTTTCCTATTGCAAAAGTGAGACTAGGACTAACCTGGAACCCCAAACAACTAGAAACAAATGGGTGTCTGGGGAAACATCCATTTCTTTCTGGTTGTTTGGGGTTCCAGGAATGACTTATATATGACTATAAATATCTCAAACAAGAATGGTATCATACACAAAATCAACTAGACCCCGCTGGGAGTGTGGGCAGTCACAGCTGCATCCGACAAGGCTCGCAAACCTTACTAAATCAAGCATGTCATAATGATATATAATATATCATACAATTTAAACGCATGACCTCATTGCTATGATGATCCTGGATGCTCCATTTAAATTCATTTAACAAGAATGAACATGATCATTCTTTCCGAATCGAACGAATCTCGATCCTTCTTCTGTCTTCCAACAAATGGCTCCCATCTGCCGTCACCCACCTCCCTTCACCTCCCTCCACGCTCCGTGGCCCTCCTCCGTCTCCGTCTCCGCCGGCAGCTCCGCGGGCGGCGCCGCAGGCGCCACTGCGTGGGCTGCGGCCTCGGCGGCGGCCTCTCGCGCTCCGGGCTGCCGCAAGAGGTCTTCCAGTTCCTGCAGGTCTTCTGGTCTCGCCCCCCCGCGGGGATGGTGGATACCCTCGGGGGGAGGCTTTCTGGAAAAGCATCAGGGCGTAGTTGGCACAGGTAGGGATTAGCATGTTGATGGTTGAGGATGCACTTGGTATCAGGGAGGGAACACTTGGTATCCAGCACCTTCATAACCATATCCAACTAACCATCCAACAGGAGACTGCGAGGACAGTAAGAGCATCCGAAACCACCCCAACCGCAGGAGCTTTGGGCCATGAGTTCCTGCAATACCTGGATCCATAATTTCTCGCTGTAAATACCAGAGCAAGTACCTCCGCAGCCTTGGATTGCTCATTTGTTGATCTATTTCAGTTGGTGATGAGTTGCAGCAACATCATGCAAACGCTATTTGTGGATATCTATCCAGCAATACAAAAAACAGGACACATATATATATATATATATATATGTACTAGCATATACTATATACCCAGATCTGTGGGTCCTCGTGATCAGTCTCTCTAACATCTGGAAAGTCCTCATGGAACTGATGGTGAATCGACTGGATGATGGATATAATCCATCCTGCCAATCCTCCTTGTGGATGCATGGTCCCCTCGAATGGCATCTAACCAAAGACCCATAGGATCGGTCAAGGAAACGGGAATAGGACGACCCCCAAACAAACCCAACCACGGCCAAGAGGGGCCAGAAAAGGGTTCTCCTGGATCTCAAATACACACCCAAGGCCTATAGGGGTCACATGTCAGAGTGGTGTGGCTCGTCCCATACCAGGTGAATCGATGTGACGGTCGGGGCACCCAACTCCTTCCTCCATAGCACTCCGATCTGAAACTCGTAGTACCAGCGTCCGACTCCCATGAGCTGAGGGGATTGGTTTCATGGAATTTCCACTGGTCATCCGGTAGATCCACCCCACGTTTTGCATGAAGAACCCACCAGTTGCCAATATGGTCAACTGCAAAGCAATGGAGCCTAACACTATACCAGCCCTACCGTAGGATTCCAACCATCAATGATAATTCAAACATGTTGTTTGACTTGGGACTGCTACAAAACCTGGTCAATTCTTCTCTTCATAATGTCGAAAGCAAGGGTCTACTTACCCAAAGACTCATGAAAACTGAAAAACCGGCACCTGCAACTGTTGCTCCAAATGTCGCAGCGGCTTGGTTGCCTGTCCCACGCTTCCAGAAGTGCATTGAGCATGAACTCCAGAAGCCATGGATTTCCACACGTCCGGTGTCGGTGTCGGATTTCCATGGTAGTTGTTTTCGAAAGCATCTTCAAGGAGCCTTCCCCGCCCAAAAACGATCTTGACCAGCAGTTCCCATGTCGGGGTACGGTCCCGAACTTGGAAGTCGGGGTGCCCAGCATCCACTGTGAGTGGATGGGACGAGCCACACCACCCCCACACCACCTCCTTCCTCCCGCTAATCCCAGGTGTTTCAAAAGAATGTCCTACTGCTTTGCTCACTTCAAAAGGAGTCCTGCAACCGCTCGCAGATCGACGACCCAGATCTGACTTCTTTGACCGGTGCCGTGTGGCGAGTCCAACAATGTTACTAAGACATATTCAATGAATTGGTTTTAGGGAAACTGTATACAGGAAACCCTTAAAACAATTCAGGGAAATATGGAACAAAGTATGACAAAGGTTTAGATGCATTGCCGGGAGTGTGTGTGGCGATGCGTCTCATGTCCACCCCGGACCAAACCCGTGCCGTGCCCGACCTCAGGGCTATGTGGCTCGGCTTCTTCGCCTGTCACATGAACAATCAGGCCGCTACTGGCGCGGCGAAGTGTGGCATGCCCACAGTGCACAACATTGAACATCATAAATCCATGAATCCATAACGAATCCCATGGGACTGAAGTATTTGCCGACATTGGAGTGGTTTTGGGGGGGTCAATGTAGGTAATAATTGTAAATACTGATTTATCTTATACATGGAGTGTCTGGGTCTATACCACCCCGGATAAATGTCCACTGATCTAGAATCTTATAGACGATAACATGATATACTGATATACTGTCTTTTTTCTTGAATTTTGAGTCTTCACTACCACCAGGCTGCGGTTTTCAGTTGATTTGCTACACCCACTTGTTGCCTACATCCCCAACGGACTCTGGGCGCGGACTCTCGGGGACCACATTGAATTGGCCCAGGTAATGGCAGTGAGGCAAAAACCGGAGTCACAAGACGGGGTGGTTTTTAGTCCCATCCAGTGAGTGGATAATGGGCACCCTTATCCTCCAAGTTCGGCACCCCTTTGTGACTGGAATGGAGCTTTATATATTGTTGTTTGACGTTCGCGGGTTGAGATGTCTGACTATCGGATATGCTACAGTGACACTGCTGAAGCATATCCGAAGTCGAACATCCCACAGGCTGGTGCTTTCAACTCATTTGAAACATATCAGACAGTGGGTTCGATATGGTTCAATCATCCCAAGTAAAGGTTGAATAATGAAGATACTAAGATACCAATTCTCCGACCCTAGCACCTCACAGCAGGCTGTACATGCAGGTTCGGACTCCTGTCCGATTCACTCGACTCCGTCAGGAACCATCGTCAAGGAAGTCACGACCGAGTCGTCGTCTACGTAGTGGAGCACCTCCAAATTACAGGTATGTATATTATATAGTCTGGGTTCGGTTCGTAGTGTCATACACGTCGATTCGTCTCGATGTTTCATGAGGAAATCACTTGGATGTCGTTTTTTTTTCCGCAACTGTTCCAGAATCCCTGCGCTCATGGCCTCCACACACTGACATGCATACACATGGCTCAATGGCCTCGGCCGCTCAATCCGAAAGAACACTCGTCTCGCTGCGCAGCCCGCCCTGGGGCCACTCCCGGAGACGTCCGCGCGGTCCCCCGGCACCTGGCGTCTGCTGCTTGGGCCTGCCAAGCAACGCCCAAAGGGGACCCGTGCGCCCCAAGGGGAGCATGCAGGACTGCAAGCAGGTTGTTGGTCGAGAAAAGATCCAATGTGTGTCTATGAACAACCCCCTTGTGGGTCCTTGTGGTGTCCTGCTGGAGACCCATATGGACAAAGCCTGAGGGCAGCCTGACAGGTTGAGGAGCCATGAGGAGGCTGACGGCTCTGTTCGGAGCGAAGCCCTTGAGCTTCAATCCTTCTTCTCTCGATGAATTTGTTCAGGGTCACCCAGCACCAATCAGGAGAGCCGCGGACCCGGACCTAGACGGCGAAATAATGAAACCAATGTGGACGGAAAGCGTAGGCCAACATCAAACCAGACATCTTTTAGCACCACACCCCCCGCGACCGTTGCAGGCTCGTCGCGCGCCGCGGGCTCGGCATTTTGAACTGGAACCCTGGCAAAAAGAAATACTGTAACTGATAACCTCCAGGGGTCACAAGACGGTGTGGTGTTTAGTCCCATCTAGTGGGTCATGGGCACCCCGACTTCGGATCGCACCCCGTCGAACGTGACTGATAACCTAGTCGATCTTCGTTCTGCATCCTGTCATATGAAGAAACGTCAAGCTTCGCAGCTGGTGCCTTGGTGGACCCTACCAATTGAGGTCTGTGTGAGTTGAAAGTCCCTACATGACCTGGCTCTCCGGATGATCGCAGCCGGACCATTTTGGCCGCGCACGCTGGACCATGCGGAACGCAGCATAGCAGCCGGGTACGTCCAAGTCTGTCTTGTAAGAGTGGTCAACCGCAGATGCCTTGAAGCGTACACTCTTGTTGCCCTGATGTCCGCAGGTTCAGTCATGCTGCAGCAAGTTCTCTTAGGGACATGCAAGGACACAAATAACATGTAGCTAGCATACACACACAAACGTACACAAAACAGCTCAACTAAGTCTCATTAAGGGTGATACTATGGATCTGTCCAACATCAACATAGGCATCTGCTCCGTTATGATCGTGTTCCTTTTATCGGCCGCCGATCATGTCCTCTTGCAGCCGCCGCAACAAGTCTTCCTGCGAGAAACAAAACCTCAGTTGCATCATTACCCTATGGGATCCAAGTACCTTATCAGGTACGGTGATTGGAGACACTGTTATGTAGGTACGTACCTTATTCTGAGGTTCGGTACGACTGGATCCCTATAGGGTTAACATATGCAAGCAGCCGAGAATGGTCTGTGAGGCTCTGAGGTCGGTGAGTTTCCAGCGAATGATGATCAGATCCGATCCGAAGGCCGAATGCACTCAAACATGCACCCTAGGGCTCCAGTCGTACCTTCGTTTCGAAGGTGTTTTGGGGGGGGGGTTAGAGGGTCCAAATACCTTCTGAGGAGGTACTTGGAGCCCTAGGGGCACTCAAACATCTCAAAACATGATTCATATCAGTTGGAGCCACAGGTGGAAATTCGGGAGGCATCCACAGCACCGGGTCATACATATCTACAGTGGGAGTCATTCCTACCCGTTTGACGGCTGCAGACTGCTGCAGACTGGAAGGGCACCGACCCAGGGTCCAAAATCCGAGATCCAGGATCTAAAAGGATACTCCATGTGTGGAATATTGACATATGGTTCCACCAATTGACCGCACTTGATCCGAGATCCCCTGATTTGAGGTCACAAACAGGCCTGTAAGTTCGCTCACTTGCTGACTCCACAGTTCGGTCACTGGGAAGGAACAACTCTGCGCACAAAACAAATCCAACCAATCGCATGGCCGAGCTACAAAGAGTCCAAACCTCTTCGCTTCAGCTCCTTCTTCAGCTCCTCTATACCTTAGGATTTAAAATCACCAGGAAACAACGACCGCGTCACGACTCTTCCCCAGTTTCGAGGATTCACCCCACCTCACCCACCCATTCTTCTCCGCAAGAACCGAGCTACTCCTTGCATCCGAAACCGCCACAGGCTCCGTGGGCGCTTTCGGCGAGACGGCCGCAGGGTCGACGTGACGCGGGACGCGCCAGTCGCGGCGCGAGTCGCCGCTGGGCGCTCGGCCCAAGATGGTGGGCACCGGCCGCAGTGGCGGCGGGATCATCGAAGCACGAGGTGAGCGGCTTCGACTGGCAAAGCCTTAGGACAAGTATGGAAAAGTCCAAAGTTTGAGTGTGAGTGTGGGGATGTGTGGGGATTTGGATGTTTTTGTGGGGCCCGGGCGCCCAAAGATCCCTTTGCCACAACCGCCTGGTCGGTGTGTGGCACAGGAACTGCTGTTCCGAACGTGTGTGGCTCTCTGGGGAAGCCAAGACTTTTTGCAGCGATGACTGACTGGTGCTTAGCAGGGAATGAGGGAATGGATCCAATAGAATCTCTATTGGTGGCTCATTCCCTTATTCCCTACTAAGCACCAGTCAGATGATGTCCAGTAAAGACCATCGTGTGGGTGGAAGGATCATTCAACGGAGGCTTAGTGTGGAAGGAGCATGTACGAGATAAGAATAGGCTGGCGGATCCACTTAACCAGCGTTGGCGTGAAGTAGAGTGATCCCCCAATAGATAGCGGCACGGTGTCCAATAGATTTAAAGTGGGAATCTACTGTTCTATCTTTGGGAGGTCTGTATAATGTATTATGATGAAATGTGCACTACAGATTGGAGGTGGATCTTAGATCGACTGCAAATTGATGGAATGAACAATTGCTGGGTGCAACAAACTCCTCAACTAAGCACCTTTCTATTGCACAGGACAGATGAAGGACTGGGATATAGGAGCTTTCACTTCTTCCTGTTCGAAGCAAGTGGGGCAGCACAAGGTGTCGAATAGATGTTAGAACTCTCCCAAGTCCAGCTATTTTACACAAACAACTCCTCTCTTATCAATGACCTCGCCGAGCATCTCAATGAATCGTCCAGACCCGAAGAGACGTGAGCGGCTAGGTTCGCTTTCGCAAGACCTTAGACTAGAGGTTGTGATTGGGGGTTCTCTCACCCTGGGGACCATCTGTTGCTCAGGTGTAGGAGTCCGACATCGTTCCCAAGACGAGCTTCGAAGCCGGCCTCAACCAGTCCATGGTTAGGCCTTCCGATTCGTCCACAAAAAACGCCGAACCCTCAACGGAGCACCTGCTTGCGAAAAACCAAGCTGGTACAGAAAAGAGGGTGGTGCATGAGACCTCGTGCCATTCCCCGTGGCACAATGTAATTGCCTTTATTGAATAAAAAGTATGAGAGGTCTATGTTGAGCTTGCAAAAACATCCCCGTCGCTACCGGATAGTGAGGTTCACTCCCCATTTTATCCAAAAATTGCTTATCTAAAATGACTGTTCACACCCAAAGGTCTGCACAAATAATTATATCTAAAAAGTGCAAAAAAAACACCAAATTGAAAAAACATGTGTTATCCAAACTTGCTAATTTGACAAGTTCGCAAATCTGTCGCTGCCAAACATTTTACTTTAGACCCATTTTAGATAAATTTAGATAACCTGGATTAAACCTAAATGAGTCAGAGAACATGTTTCTTCGTGGTCGAACACGCTCATTTTAGATAGCCAGTAGCAACGGGGATGCAAAAACTTTGGACACATTATGACACATCCCTTGATTGATGTAGCTTGCACCGACTCCGGTACCTCTCTGAGCAGCGACCAAAAAGAAAACTGATGCCCCCTGCAACGAATGATTCCTCACCACCAACATAGCAAAACAAATCCAACGACTGCAAGATCGGACAGATCAACTCAGCCAAGACACTCTGACTTGTCTCCTCCGCTTCCACTGGAAGCTCCAAAGGGCCAGGCTTCGGCTCCAAAGGGCCAGGCTTCGGCTCCGGCCTTGCTTCCTCTCTGTTCGACTCAGACGGTGAGACCGCTCGTGGCACATACTCCGTCGACACGGGCGTGATGCTGGGGCTTGAGGGCACGACGACGGGAGCGCCGCTCGCGTTCGATCGGCTCCCCGGTCGTGCTGCCGGGACCGAGACCGCCGAGACCGCTGAGACCGGTACTGCAGGGACCGATGTCACCAGAACCGGTGCTGAGCGCAGACCGGGTGCCACGGGTAGCGCTGGTCCCGCTTGGTTCAAGAGAATTGGTCTGGCGAATTGATGCGAAGTAAAGCAAGTCGCCTTAGGTGCAAACAAGTGAACACCTGAGAAGCTGCAAAACGAAAGCCAGCGCTTCCCTTTCTCGACAACTGCGCGTCGAAACAATCAAATGAGTTCGCGCAGCCGCTTGCGGCCGCGTGTCAAGTCTGCTTCATGTCTTGTTCTGCCCACACATAGGTAACCATGCAAAAGCAAAAAATGCACTCTTGCATCACCACCCGCTCCAAAATCCCTAAAACATCACCTCCAAGAGTTTACGTATACCTTTCTCGGGCCACCCCCCCGACCCCCGACCGACTTCACACATAGATAATTCCCATCCACATTCAGATGAAGCAAAAGCCAAACAATGCACCAAAATTCGAGGTGGCCTGGGACCAGAGGCTCGCTGCCCGAAACTATATGTTCAGGCCACCTCAGAAATGAAGATATGCGAAGCAAGGGTCCTGAGGTGTCTCTGTGACAAGGCTTTTGTTAAAACAGACAGTTTTCTGGTCTGCATAGGTGCTGACAGACAGGCAAACCCTCGTTACTCCAATCCAGTCCAGTCCAGTCCACTCCACCACACTCACCATTCCCAATTCAATTGGGTCACATCTCTCAAAATCTTTTCAAAGACCCCACCAGTCAGGACCTTATAGTAATAACAATCACTTTGGAGCTTGGACTCCACCCCACGGAAAGCTGTGATCTACCAGGTTGCTACGGTCGCAGTCTGGTAGAACCATCGCTAGCGGTAGTGAGACGCACAGCGGGGTCATGATTTCACTGGACCTGGTTCAAAAAGACTGTCCTTCGCAACAAGTGACTGCGACCGTCGCTACTTTGAGGGTGCTCCAGCGAAATCAAAATCCCACTAGAGCAATCGCTAGCGGTAGTGATGGTTGTAAGGGCTTGCGACGCTCGCCACTTGGTAGATCACAGTTTTCCTTAAAAACATCAAATATTTTTTTCTGATTGCCAGGCCCACCAAGTGATGCTGTACGTCGTGACTACTTGATATTTATCTGTTCCAACAGCCACAGACCATCCAAGATGGTGTTCACCTCAGGGTTCCAGCTATTAAATCTGACTCTTTGCAAATGAGGCCATTGCTATTAGGATCGAGGCTTCTGAATAACAACTAAAACTTATCAACTTCAACCTTATTAGTGGTGGAGTGGAGTAACGAGGGTTTGCCTGTCTGTCAGCACCTAGTCAGCACCTATGCAATATTGTTCGAAATCAACTTACCAACTTCTTTAAAGGCAGACCAGTTTTTCAAGCAATATTCAAGGTGGCCTGAGACCAGGGTTTGCTGCCCTAAAACACTCTGTTCAGGCCACCTTAAAAATGAAGGTCTGCGAAGCGGGAGCAGAGGATGCACATTGTCCTTCTGCTGCTTGAATGTGGCCTTTTGTTTACTTAAAAGTTCAAGACCTCCCAGCTGTTTCCACCTCTTCGCTTCCCAGTCTTCCAGGGTTCATATAGGGAGCCAGGCCATTTTCAGAATCCTCTGGATTTGAGCTGTTCGAGTTCCTATTGAAGGGTATAGTTGGCGA